AACCCCCCTCCCAAGAATTTTTTTTCTGAAAATAAAAGTATGGAAAAAATGCAGTTGTTTATTTTTTTCTCTCTGAATATCGATGGACGTACTGTATTTTGAGAAAGCAAGACAAACAAGGTTGTTCTCACTACAGTTCTTATCATAACATCACAAAGTGGACGCAGGTTTCCTGAAATACCTGCGCTCATATGACCTTAGCAGTTGCGAGCGCCGTAAAACCCTATACTACTACTGAAATACCTGGGTTTGGCATATGGTGCATTTTGGAGTGGAGGACCCTTTCGTTTTAGTTTTAGTTTTAGTAGAGGTTTTACGGCGCTCGCAACTGTATAAGGTAATATGAGCGCCAGAAGATTAGAGGCGTTACAGGAGAGTAACAAACATAAAAAAAGAAGAAGAAGAGATACGGACGACATATATTTGATAGGAAAGAAGAAGCATACCACACCAGAGCACCCACCCGCCAACCACCCTCGAACCCTTTGGTTTGCACTCGTGGTTTACCACAAAACCCTCGACATACACAGACAGTACAGTGGGACTCTGACTAGATCGGACATGTTGACTAGGCACGATAAGAGCAACAGAGCAAGCCTATAATATCCATATGTGAGGCAGCGTGGTGGAATCAGGCTCTCGTCAGAATAATCAAAGTGAAGAAACTTGCATTTTTCCGCAGGTTTGTGAACTTTTATCAAATTTTTGTTTTTTTTGGCTCAACACCTTTCATGCCCATTAAAGAACTAATTTCTGTGTGGATTTTTCTGAAAAACGTTGATTAAAGGCACAAAAAATTTAAATTTTCAGTTACCACGGATTATTAAAATAAGGAAATAATTAATCTTTGGCGGCCATTTTCTCACTAAATTTACCTCTGAAAACAGGTGACCCCCACCTCCTTCAATCGCAAATATCTCGAATTGTATTCAAGATAAAGGATATTCTTTTCATCCAAATAAAGAAAAGTGAACAAGCTTTGAGATGATACCAGTAACTCTACATGCCCAAAAATTGACGAGAGCCTGATTCCACCACGCTGCCTCACATTTTTGTTGTACGTGCGGAGTGAACCCCCCTCCCCCCCAATAATGTAGTGTTCTTTCCTGACTCAGGATGGTTTTGGAAAACGAAAGCATACAAAAATTAAAAGATAAAATACAATTATGACCCCCAAAAAAGTATGGAAATGGACTTTCTGCATTAAGCCCCAAAATTTCTTTTGATGTTTTCTGGCCGATTTTAAAAACTG